GCTCTGCCTCAGCTGCTCGTAGTCCAGGGCTCTCAGCACAAACACCTGCCCGCTCTCGGGGTTCACAGACACGCACGAGCACCAAGGCCGCTCCGCCGCTTGCCCTGCTGACAGGGAATAGGTCACCTTGGCATTCAGCCCCACGTCGGCATCTGCCGCGCTCACGGCTCCCACCAGCACGGAGGGCGCGTTGTTCTCTCGCACGTACATGGTGTAGGATGTCTGGTTGAAGACGGGGGCGTTGTCGTTGACATCCGAGATGTCCACGGTGAAGGTGTGGGTGGTAGTGAGAGGAGGGGACCCCGCGTCTGCTGCTGTCACAGTGAGGATGTGCTGAGCCGTGTCCTCCCGGTCCAGCGCCCTCACAGTCACCAGCTCGTAGTAATTCTTATAGGCTGGCCGCAGGGAGAAGAAGAGCTGATGCTCGAGGGCACAGGACACCTTGCCGTTGGCACCGGCATCTCGGTCCCTGACAGTAAAGAGGGCAACCACCGTGCCGGGCGCGGAGTTCTCGGCGAGGGGACTGCTGAAGGAACTGACCAGCAGCTCGGGTGCATTGTCATTCACATCCAACACCTCCACCACCACCTTGCAGATTGCCGAGAGCCCCCCACCATCTGTGGCCCTCACACTGAACTCGTGAGTCTGTGCTGCCTCAAAGTCCAGAGGCTTTGTGAGTTTAATTTCACCTGTTATGGGATCAATCTCAAATGCTGAGTCGCTGTGGTCCATTGCTTGTCTGAACTGATAAGTAATGTCCCCATTAATTCCTGAATCCCGATCTGTTGCCAACACACTCATAACCACAGAGCCTTTTGGAGTGTTTTCTGAAACCTTCCCCATATACTCTTCCTGTGTGAAGACAGGAGCATTGTCATTGACATCTAGGACGACGATATGGATTTGGGCGCTCCCACTCCTGGGAGGAGAGCCCCCATCCACAGCAATCAGACTGAAATCCATCTCTGCCTGCTCTTCTCTGTCTAGGGGCTTTTCCAAAACAAGTTCAACAGACTTCTTGCCTGTAATCCGACTCCCATAGGAGACGCTAAAGTACTCGTTCTCGGGTGTGATGCTGTATGCCTGTACACTGTTACTGCCAACATCCAAGTCCCAAGCGACCTCCAGAGGAAATCGAGAGCCGGGATCGCTCGTTTCGGGGATCTTAAAAGTGACTCGTTCCTCAGGGAAAACGGGTGAATGGTCATTGATGTCCTCCAGGGTGACCTCGACCCGAAAGAACTGCAGCGGGTCGGCCAGCAGCAGCTCGAAGGGGAGCGTGCAGGTGTCGGCCTGGCCGCACAGCTGCTCCCGGTCCAGCCTGTCGGCCACGACGAGGAGGCCGCTGGCGCGGTCGAAGCGAAAATGCTGGCGGCCGTCCTCCGACACCAGGCGGGCGCGGCGAGCCGAGAGCTGCGCCGGCGGCAGCGCCGCGTCCTGCGCCAGGTTGCCTACCAGGGAGCCGCTGTGCGCCTCCTCGGCTACGGAGTAGCGGATGGGCTGCGAGCGAGCGAGCGGCAGGGAGAGCA